CCGCGCACGAGCCCGTCACCTTCGAGGCCGATCCCTCGCCCCACCGCCGCCACATCCCGCGCCCCACCCGCCCTCCGTCGCAAGCCCCGCCGCCACCCCGTCCCGCCTCACCGACATTCCCGACGCCCCATCCACACTCACCGCCCCCGCCGCCAGCTTACCCCACTGCTACGCCGCCCGACTTTCCGCCGTACGCCCCGAGGCGACCGGCGTACCCCGCGCGTCAGCCACCCCTCCAGTTGAACACGGGCGGCGCCGACGAGCCGCGAGCTCAAGATCACGCCCCATCGCCCCCCGCAGCTTCCGACTCTTCGCGACTTGAGCACCGTGGCAAGCCCCGCTCCCCTTCGAATGCAGAGGCGCCCTCGGAGCCACCCGCGCTGTCGAGCGCATTCATTGCGCCGCTAGCGCTGCCGAATCCTGTATCTGAGGACCTGTCCCTGCGTGCTTACCCACCACCACCTGAGCGCTCACATGCACCGCATTCCCCCCCTCCATCAACTTCTCCGTATGCTTTTCCACGATTCCCAGCGAGGGCCCTCAAGGCCTCGCCGAGAACATCTCCCCGTGCACAATCTACGGCGTCCCAAGTCAGACCTGTGGAGCCGCCAAAGGTGCCACCAAGAGTGGCCCCAACCCCGACAACTCCACATACGGACGTCAAGCAGCAAGAAGCCGACGCAGCGCCCGCCCTACAAATCGATGCGCGCGCGGTCGAGATCGAGCCACTCAAGGCGCTGGACGCGGAAAAATTCCCCGAGATGCACGCAGAGCCGATTCATCGGGTTCCCTCGAGAGTCGAGAGCGTACGGAAAGCGGAACTACTGGGCTCGTCGAAGAACTCGTCCATGACTAGCTCAAAGTCTTACCCGGTCCTAATCGTCGAGACGCCGACGTCCTCGGCCAGGACCTCGCGCGAAGGGGTGTCGGCGAAGCATAGCTCGGGTTACCACAAGGGGGCGTCGGCCGTGTCCTCAGACCCGCTTGAGGGGCACAACATGTGCGGTTCATTTGCGTATGGCACCGTATTGGGCCTATTTCCTATATTGCTTGTTCTTCGATGTGTTGTACATTGCTTTAGGAAGAAGAATGAGAAAAAGGTGCAGATATGGGATGGGCGATGGGTTCAGTACGGAATCACTCTCGGACTCACAATCATCATCGGCATCGCTCTCGTCGTTGCAATAGTCGAACTGCGAACCTAACGGTTTTGAGAGACAGGTTCAGGAAGAGGACCGCTCAAAGGAGACCGCGGCATTCCCAGGCTTTCCCCGATGTGGCACGTGTACAGCCACAAGTGTCCATCAGTGCATCGGACAAATCAGTCCCCGCTAAATGTGTGTGAATTACAGTACCGTAGCTCAGATCATAACAACAACGTCATTTTGCCACACTGTACCTTCAATTGACAATCATAGGGCTTCTTGTGTGCGGGATGGGGCGATTTCTTGAGTGGCCCGCAGGGCGAGAGTACGGCAAATCCATGGCGTCTGGAGTCGAGGACCCCGAACTGCTCAGGGCGAGTAGGACAACTGCAAGCAAAGCGTACGGGTTGAGTGCCGTCAAAGACCTTCTGCGGGTCAGGAGCTTACATGATGACCTAGCTGATCTACTGTAGTGGACGAAGGGGGCCATGAGAAGGCAGGTGATTGTCCTAGTAGGCTGGTTCGAGTACAGTTCGCCTCTGTGTGCAGCGTGCAGACATTTGCGTCGACTGCTCATGCCAGGGCAAGTCCCGGTAGAGACAATCGTATGCGCCCTTAACCGGGACAAAAAGGGCGCTCACCGACTGCCTGCTGGTTACGTCTACGGACGTTACTCGGCAGAGGCGGGATACTATCAACAACGTCAAGCGCATAATGCCGTGTCGCATCGATAGCGGAAGAGAAATAAGGTCTATTGAGCCTTGGGTGCATCAGGCTTCGGGAGCCGGGGAGGGTGCGGCCGACGCAGAGCCTGCGGGTTACCAGGCGTGCGTTGAGTTGGGGTGCCGCATAGAGTGTAACAGTGCGATGGAGGGAAGGCTAGCCGCGTTCCGGCTTGCTTCGGAGATCGTCGGACCCTACAGTCAGCTGCGTGTCAGTGGTAAGAGATGGGGGACTACAGATCTGCGGATGAGGCTCCTCCCGGTAGAGATGGGTACGGGGGCTGAAGTAGGTGGCACCCGGATGTACTGTACAGAGCAGGTCAGCTGTTAACGCAGGGTGACAGTGCTGTGTGCGTCGTATCAGGGGCGGATTCTAGTGCAGGTGATTATCAAGGGCGTATGGTGTCTATGCGATGGCACCCAGTCCGGTACATGGACAGAGTGGCAGCCCCGGACTTGGTAGCCATAGAGAGAATGATCGCCGGGAACGACGAGGGCTTAGGGGCATTGTACGCTGCGTTCAAAAGCAACGCCGTACGATGGCGCCTGCCCGAAGGAATAGAAAACGGAGAAAGTTTGCGGAGAGCCAAGGAGCACTGGCAACGAACAACGGAACTCTGCTGCACGGCGCGACACCCGAGACTTAACATCAGAGCCATGATTGGGTAACTACGCTAAGGCGCCCGGGTACATCGATTTCTGTCGAAGAGTGGGCGAGCGCATATTGAGCTCGCACAGACTCGATAGACTGACGGTGGCCGAAGGGTCGGGTGAAATCGTGGGGGTGTTGGGGTGTGCAATCGGCATGGCTATTACCTCAGGGTTGAGTAGGAACTCCCTCCGAGCCATGTCGAATGTCAAGGCGCAACAAACGGAGAAGTGGAAGATGAAGGCCGTTGTGCGAAGGTGGAAGCAGCGCGCGCGCGCAGTTATTGGATGGGCAGGAGGGAGGATGGAGCGGGGGATGGGACGGGGTTGGGCAGCAGCGACGGTGGCCTAGGCACGCATGGGGGGAGCGACGGGAAGGAAGGAGGGCGAACTTGGGCGGGGGTGACTTGAGCGGATTCGGCAGCGCACGGAGGCGAGGCCGTTCTCGCGCGCGAATTATCGACGCGGCTCGCGCTCGAGTTGCTGGCGCCGAGCGCGCGTGGCGCAGCCAAGGCCGCCGTCGGCGCGCGCGGCGACGGAGGGGAGGTGAGTGATGAAGTTGTCTTGATGTATCAGAATTATTAATGGCGTTGGTATCAA